CCCCCCCCCCATCTCTCTGATCTGCTACAACCGTATGTCCCACCACGTTCCCTGAGGTCAGCGGACCAGTTGCTCCTCACAGTTCCAGGAACTCGTCTTAAGTGCAGAGGTGACAGGGCCTTCTCTGTAGCAGGACCAAGACTTTGGAACGAGTTACCTCTGCTTGTCAGACAGGCCCCCTCCCTCTCAGTTTTCAAGTCCCGTTTAAAAACCCACTACTATTCAGCAGCTTTCAACACCAGATGATCTGTGTTTTGATCCTGTATGCTCCACACTGGTTTGTCGTCATTATCTGCATCGTTTTTATGTCTATATTCTGATTTACCTCATTTTGTATTTTGCTTCGTGTGTTACCTGTTGTTCTGTCTGTACAGCACTTTGGTTGGCCTTGTAGCTGTTTTAAGTGCTCTATAAATAAAGTGGTATGGTAAAATGTAAACAATGTTTGACTTATGACTTATTAATGATTTTATTTTGTATACATTTAAAAACATTCAGGGGAGCATCTGTTTTTGAAAGTTTTTTTAGCAAATTAATCCATCAGTCCATTTTATTTGACACTAAATCATAATATAATAATAAATTATTGTTATTATTATTAATAATATTATAAATAAATACCTGATTGTTCAGGATTAACTAAAACTGTTCACTCCATAGTTTGAACTTTTTTTTTCTTTTAAAGCAGTTGTTTTTTACGAACCAACTTCCAGCGTCCATGACACATTATCTAGTTTTAAAACTAGACTTAAGACTTTCCTTTTTGATAAATCCTATAGTTAGGGTCAGCTTGGGTTTCCTGAGCTGTCCCTTAGTTCTGCTGCTATAGGCTCAGACTGCTGGAGGACAAACTGACCACACTTTTCACTCTGCTACTGTCTTAACTTACTCTGCTCAACCTGTTTTGTATTTGTAATTTTTTTTTTAATCCTTAACATGTTTCTTTGTCTTTCAGGTACACCTGGACCTATACCTGGACCTGGACCTGGACCTGGACCTGGACCTATACCTGGACCTGGACCTATACCTGGACCTGGATCTATACCTGGACCTGGACCTATATCTGGACCTGGACCTATATCTGGACCTGGACCTATACCTGGACCTGGACCTATATCTGGACCTGGACCTATACCTGGACCTGGACCTATATCTGGACCTGGACCTATACCTGGACCT